TGTTTCTCCTATGTAGAATTCTGGGCAGTTATTGCATGTTATTTTGTAATTGATGTTGGTATTGTGTAATTCTAAATAATTTTTGTTTAGTAATGATTTTAATTTAGGGCCAGGTTTTTGAGAGAATTTGACATTGACAGGAATTTTGTGTTTAATGGCTAGTTTTGTTCAAGTGTGGATAATTCTTGAGCTGGTTTCAGGAACAAAAGGTAAACTGCAGTGTAATGTTCTGTTGTTGGGTTTGTTAGTATCAGTTTTGTTCGTGAGTTGAGTTTTATTGTGGTGAATGTTGGAGAGTTTTTTAACTATAGCTGGTGGGAATTTATTTGGTGTGAATGAAGGAATGTTTTATGGGGTTGATTTCTTCAATTATGTAGTCCATTGAACAGAGTCTTGTGGCTGTGATTATGAGGTTTTTGAGTATATTGATTTTTTGTGTGGTGTCATGAGCAGAATTCCAGGGGATGTAGAGGCCGGTGTGTGTGTTCTTACGATGAATTTTGGTTTTAAACTGTGCATCCGAACATTGTACATTTGCCGTTATGTTAAACTTATATTAAAAGAGTTTCTTTATTACCCATTCAAGCCATCTCCAAGCATTATTAGTTTCAAAGTGGGTTCCCTCATCATTGAATTAGTGTCAATTATGTTTGCGAGTTGAATTTTGAGATTTTTGTTCTGGTGGTTGTGTGGAAATGCTTTGAGAATGTTTAGTGGAAATTTGTTGGTGTGAATGAAGGAATGCTTTATTGAGTTGATTTTTTCATGTACTCAGTTGAATAAAGTCTTGAAGCTATGTGTACAAAATTTTTTGGTATATTATTATTTTTTGTATTTATGGGCAGAATTCCAGGGAAGGTAACGGTCTGTGTGAGTGATCTTTTGGTGAATTTTGGTTTTGAAATGTGTTTTGGATCTGATAATGTTGAGGTTAAGAAAAGACAATTGTTTGTTACTTTTGTGTTCTATGGTGAATTTAATGTTAGGATGAATGAAGTTTATGTGTTCAAAAAAGTTTTATGTTTTCCATAAAAGTGAAACTGGCAAAAGTGTCATCAACATATCTGTACCAGTATAGGGGAGGATAAAGTATGAATTGTATGGCTTATGTTTCAATCCGGATCATAAATATGTTGGTGAGAACAAGTGAAACAGGGTTGCCCATTTTTAAAATATCCATTTGAAGAAAGTTTTTGTTGTTGAAAATGAAGTTGGGTTTTGTTGTTGTGAATTCTAAAATGGAAATGAAAAGTGTATTGGGGATGTAAATTAAAGGATTGGGGTCATTACTGTAGAGATCAAATGCAGCATTACAGACTTCTTTGACGGGAACTTCAGTGAAAACTGATACAACATTAAAGCTGGCGATTAAGGCTTTGGGGTTTAGTTGGTTTAATGTGTTTCTGAAGTTAAAGACATCTTTCAAAAATAAACCTGCAGATGTTATGTAAAATGTGAGGACCCAAGCTATGTATTTACCAAGATTATAGTTAAATGAGTCATAAGTGGACAGTATAGATCGTATGGGGCAGTCTTGTTTGTGTGGTTTGGGAATGTCATATAGTTTGTGTGAGAGTCAGTTTTCCTTATATAAAAATAGAGATCTTCAGTAATCAAGTTGTCTTTCTTCATTTGTAACAGGGTTTTGTTCAGTTGTTTCTCATGTGTGTTTCTTGGGTTATTGGGGATGGGTTTAAATTTATTATTGTCTGAAAGGAAGTTGTTGATTTTTTCGATGTATTCTGTGTTGTTCATGATCACAGTAGTGTTACCTTTGTCAGCTTTTAAAATTTTAATGATGGAATCTTTTTTCAGATTTTCATTATATCTCGTTTCTGATATTGGTCTTCAGTTTACAGGTCTGGTTAACTACATTAATGGTTTTGTTAGATAATTATTTGAAAAAGTTGTTTAAGATACAGTTTTGGGAAATCTCAGGAAACCACATTTGTTATAGTTACCTATCATAAAAGTCTGGCAGTTGGAATTTTTAATTTCTTCTTGTTGTTGATTGCTATACAAGGTGGAAGTAGTTTTTTGTTCTTTTGTGTAGTGAATCACTAGTCTTCTGGATAAATCTTCTAGGCTCTTAGAATTAAATAATTGAAGAAAAGGTATATGAAGCTTTTTACAGTATAACTAAAAAGCTCCAGGAAATAATGTTATGTTTTATACATCATTTTGTGTAAAAGTGGGAAATTGTACTCATTATTTGTATAGAAATACATATAAAAATATTCATTCTACTGCTTTGTGAATGATGTACAAATATGCCTACCAAACAAAAGCAGATAGCAAGATAAAATACAATTAATACAAAAGAACCATTATTAACCAATACCACTCATCAACTTTATAATCATAATCAATTTCTAATATATAACAAATATCAACCTAAATAACACACACCATAAATATTAACAAAATCATTTGAAATAATTAAAACCTCCCTCCTCAATATAATCACAAGACAATTAAAACCTTTAACCTCCAAAGGACCAAAGGCCTGCAACTGAAGCATAACCATAAGCTTTTGATCTGAGCTTGCTCCATCTTCAGGTTAAAAACCAAATTAAGATTAGCATATTGATACAAAGTTGTGGCACTGCTAATCCATATAGATTTAATAATAATAAATGAAATGTACTGTTTTTTCATTATTTTAGAATATAAACAAATCAAATTAATCAAGATTATTTTAAAAAATAACTAAGAACATCTGTATCAAGTTACCACTTGTATAAATACATTAAAAAGATAATCTGCTTCAGGTCAGGAATAGGCGAGTGGTCGGTGTGTGGAAGGTGGATCTGAGGGTCCTGGATTTGTGTCTTGTTGCTGCAAAGTTAAAAAACTACATCCTGCACTTTGGGAATGGTCAAATACCTCTATTCTATTAGAGTATCCTACGACTTGGAATGGGTGGTATTCACAACTTGCTTTCCTTCCTTCTAATTTATCACTATAAGATTATGGCCAGATAGCTCTCAAGTAGCCTTTCACAAAATTCAAACAAAAACTCTTTATTATTAATCTTCTTGTATTTACTATTGATAATATTTTCAAAAACTGACCTTTTTTGTACTTTATAATAGGCTTTTAATTTCTTCAAATTTTAAGATTCACTTCAAGTATTCAACAATCAACAAAAATATTAAAAATTGAAGAAGGATTACAAAAAGGGTAGATAACACAGTATTGAAATAATTCCATGAAATGGAAAGTTTAGCTGTTCAAGTGAGAAAGAGAAATAAGAAAAACACTTAAGCTAATGGGCTTAATTATCTTTTCTACCAAGTAATTTCATGGTGATGAAGAGAGACCACTGTAGCTAAGATTTTAATATTTGTAGAAAATACTGGTTGTTAGTTGAACACTGTTCCCTCAATAGTTAACTAAATTAACTATTCATGCTTATAATGCAACTAATCCTAACTGAAGGTAATTTATGACACTAAAAGTTGTTTTTTTAACCTCTTCAGCTCCATGCTGTGCATGTTCAACATGATTTCAGTGTATACTAAGCCTATTTTTATGAACTTATTTGACCTTAATGTCATGCACATTTTAGCAACATCTAAGTTAAAACAATAAAAATATAGCTTACAACACTCTGTTAAAATTAATATCAGTCTTATTGTAATGAAATGTCATACAAACCATTGATCTGTAGGTCATTCTTTGTTGACAGAAGGTATTACACATACCACAGTAATTGATATCTAAAATTTCTTTGGCAAAAATCACATTTCAAATATAATAACATTTTTAATCAACAACTAAAAACAGGTTGGAAATAACATTTGAAATTATTAATAAATGCTTTAATATACCTGCTCTACATGCAGCTCCACATCTTTCTGTGTACAACTTTCTATCTTCTGAAAAACTGTACGCACATGACCTTCAACATCAAGTATTGATTCTTTTGTAATCCTATTGAGAAAGAGATAAAGCTCATGTAGTAAATTATTTTAAGTACAATAAATAATGAAAGAAATTCTAAGTTATTAGTTCAAGTTTTAATAAAAGTTACATTGTACAAGCAAGTTTTTGGAATTATATATAGTATATGCAACAGAATAAAATGCACAAATTATCTTACAGTTAAAATGAGTACTTATATTGAAATTTTGAACAGAACTAGCTTTATCATATTGAGCCAAAACTTAAAAAGCTGTTGTTACATCTCACATGAAAATTTTCTTTAACCATTTTGTTTCTTGTTTATTTTAGGGTGATGTATAGTATATTTTCCCTGTATGTATATATTTGCTAAAATTTTTAAAGCTCAGTAAAAATACATATCTTTGGTATGCTTACAAATAACTATTTTGCTCTAACACTTAATCTCCAAATCTCTAAAAAGAAAGCATAGGTCTACAAGTCTTGAGAAAACAAACACAATGATTTAAGAGTTTATTTTCCAAAAGTTTTAACCAGGACTAACCATAATATGTGTATACCACACCAAGCAAATCACCTATGAAAATGGTTGTTTAGGATAGATTTCACAGAATTTACTTAACAACTAACTTAAATGACTATGGATAATATGCTACTGCATAAACTACCTGCCAGTATATTTCTAAGCTTAAAAAGTCTAGCTAAAAAAGAATACTGTATAACTTACCCATCACTGAAATTCTAACAAAGTTCTGGATTAATAAGCTTCTACATAACTGACCTACTACTGAATCTGGCTAAAATTGTTTATCATACTGGCAAAACATTTTTCCATTATTTTTTATAGAGAATTTTCAGAGTTTTATGTACAAGCTCAACAAATTCATATTTAATTATTGTGAGGTGCAATTACATTTTCTTGTGATTTCATATTACAATTTTCTTTTTTGTTGCTCTTTTACTAGCCAACAGGATCAAAAGTGCAAAATGTGTTGACTTAATTTCTAGCTTGCTTTTTAACATACTTAAGTGAAATTAAGTTGCCTCACAGGTATCTGAATTAAATATATATTAATAAATAGCATTAAACTAACCAAGAAATGGGGAAACCAATGGAATACCAGTGTTATTACTTGTGAACTAACTTATAATTGCTGTTGGCACTATCAGTGAATATTTTAAGGTTTATAAATAGTTACTAACATCAACAACCAAGAGTAAGTATTCAGTGAAACCCAAATGACCTCCCTCACCGCATTACAATTTTTCTCACACAGCAGTTAAGATAGATCGCATGGAGGTTGTTCTGATCAAAACAAGATCAGTCTTGGGTAGCATCTTTTCCAGAAATTTAAAGCTCAAGCTGATATCATTGTGATTTAGTAAAGTACATTAAAAAAGGTCTTACAGTAGTCTCTCAAAGATCATTACTAGCAACATTCATCCACTCAGAAGGCTGTTCACTTATTAAAACTCAAGCATTCTATCATCAGGCAGAATTTCAGTCCACTTTTAAACTTCTCACCTACATCAAAATTATCTCAATTGGCAATTAAGCAAGAATGTAAAGCCATAAGCAAGGCATTCTAGAAATCAATATAACCATCAAAATAGGGTAGAAACCTTGTAAAGGAAAATAACAAGCTGATTAGACGATGAAGATATAATTCTTAATAAAATCAAGTTAAACGATAATAATGAATTTATCAAATAATCCCTAAAAATTGATAGCAACACATTATAAACAACAGAAATTAAACTAATGAAGAGTCCCTAATTCTAAATATTTTCCATCAGCACTTTCTTTTTACAGTCATAAACGATATAAGCAATATTTGAAATATCATGAATTTCTTGATCCCTTAATTTTTGAAAAATATTTTAAAGGTAACCCATGCTTATTACACAGTTTAATAAAATGTTAAGGTGCATCTCACAGAACAAGTTTTAAGTTTCCTTTATTGTTAACATTTTTCAGTTTTAGAGGTGATGCTAAAAGATTTGATACACACTGTTGAAAATAGTTTTACATTTCAATAATAATCCATCACATTTAGTTTGGTTTGTTTGGAGTTTTGCACAAAGCTACATGAGGACTATCTGCACTACCCATTCCTAATTTAGAAGTTAGTAAACACCACCTACCACCAACTCTTAGGCTACTCTTTTACCAACAAATAGTGGGATTGACTGTCCTAATACTACCACAGTTGAAAGAGCAAGAATCTTTTGTGTGATGGGAAACCACATTTAGTAATTTTGAAGTAATACAAACACAAGTTGGGTATTTTGAACAAGGAAGTGGTAAAAAACATTTGAAAGGCTTTCGAGAAACTCGAATGGGAAAAATAATCTAACTGGCTAATTTCAAGAAGACTGCGAAAACATCACCTAAAGGTTTTAGTGAAGCAGTATGAATCCAAGATATCTATTAAAATGTTAAGATAAATTATGGAGTAGCAAAACTTTTGAAAGTTGTTTAAAATTACTACTAATTTTACAGAGAAAAGGGAGGAGACTGCAGTTAAAACAAAAAGGTGGCATAGCATTTCCTGGAGTATGTAATTGATAAACTTTTAAAGAGTAGTTGCATGAAATTTATACTATTGTGCATAAAAATTATAGCAAAATCAAAAACAAATAAAATGGGGTATAATGAAAAATAAACTCGTACAAAATTTTCAAGGTTTATTTCGTAACAAGACTGTAGCAATGTTTTAAATTTGGTACTAATATAAAAAGACACATGATATTCGACAGATGTAAAAATAGCAGGATGCCAAAATGTTCAGTAATTACTTTGACTTGATGATTAGCATGTTTAAGTCAAACATAAAAATTGTTCCTGAAAGAATTAAATGAAAAATATTTGTGTTGAACAATGTATGCATTAAGATTTTCTTAGAAAAGCACTGACTAGTTGACTGTCACCATTATCAATCACTAAATACAGCTTCATAAGATTGTTTTTAAGTCCTGTTCTCAAAGCAAATGCATAAATTATAGAAACAGGTATGGCACTGTCAGCAGAGCGTGACATGTAAAAAAAAATAAATAAAAAAATATGGAAGGGTGGAATGGGATTAATTTCGAAAAATATTTTAGTTTTGTTAGTTATCATTACTAAACACCGCAAAAGTTTTACTGTTTATAGCCCTTTTTTGGTTGACATATGATTTTAACTTTGGTTAATAGTGATTCAGTAAAATATTTCTATATATTGTATCAAACTTTCAGTTAATAGCAATGTTCAGACTAAAACAATTTGGGATAAACTGATTTAGAAAATTTACAATATACATGTATTTTTGAATTACATGATTAAATATATATATGTTTTCATTCATGGTTCAGTATTTTTAAGACATACCCTAAAAAGCCTAAAACAAAAATGGTGAGAGAATGCTTTAATACTCTATGATTCTGCCTTTCTAAACATTCAACTGTGCTTTTAGTTGAAGTTATAAGAATCTTCATGAATTTGTCAACAAACACTTCACATCTTTTTCTGGAAACACAGCACCACTGAAATCTGCATCTACTTTCCATAACTTACTATTCCCTATTATAGCTCAAATGTTTAAACATATAGAGCTAATCCTTTTAGTCCAGAACTTACACTATTCTGACTGATTTACCACTCTCAAAATTTAAATTAGACTCGAATTCTGACATTTACATTTTTTTTGTTCCATGTAAGACAATTTAAGTATCTTCATAGTTATTAAACTTAATATACAATATATTCACCACCAATCAACTAGTAGCCTTTTTTTGTCAATGACTTTGATCATGCACTTCAATATTCAAAAGTTGGATAAATTAATTTCATTTTATTATGAATTGTAAGTATTGTCTGGAATATCAAAATCTCAATTATACAAAAAGTACTGCACTTGTAACTAAAGACGAAAAGGAAACTTTTAATGAAACTTGATCAAATAATTTGTAAAATTTTATTTATTATTGATGTTTTATTAGTTTGTAATAAAACAAATTCATTTCTGCTTCAAATAATGGCCTTTATTTGTTATTTTGTGCATATAAAATATTTATACGAGATAAATGAAGAGTAAAGAAATGAGAGGAGAGGAATATTCACAGATAACCTTATAATTATTCTTTTTCTCCAATTAATGCCTCAGCAGCCTATTTCAATTATTAATTGATTAATATGATATTTTTCTATGTGTTTGAGAATTTAAACAAATCCTTCCTGGAAAACTTGGCATCTGAATGGACTCCATTCATTACCACTGATTTTCTACAGATGTGTGTTTTAAATTTTAAGGCTGTAGAGACATATACAGTTAGAAAATAATGGGATTATACAGGTAACATTAAGTCACATGACAGGGGAACTCGCCTTGACCAGATACCCAAGATTAGACTTGTTGTTACTTGATATATTGGTACATGATGATGTACTTTTTACAATGCTCATTACTCATTGAAATATTCATCATTACTATGTATCATGTGAAAATTTAAAAAGTTTACATAAATTCAACAGGGCTAAAAAGCTTATGTGCACATGTATGTCAGTGAAACATCTGTTCACCAGAACCCTAAGTGAATTGACTCCTATATTGTCAACTTGTTTATATACTGTTCACTACAAATGGTGACTACACATCATAATAATCAAATTCCATTACACTGATTAACTATAATTTTGCAAATTACAACACTCAGTGTAAAGAAATGATCAAAACGATTAGGTAAAATTGTGCATTTTGTAAGATAATATTAGTGAGATTAACTGCAATGATAGTATTTTTTATTGTTCTGTATGACTTGTATATTATTATAGATCCTGTAACAAACAGTCATGGACCCACAAGCAATATGGTGCATAAATAATTTGTCACAATTTGCTTAAAAAGCTGATATACACTACCATCAATAATATAAGGTTAAGCAGTACATTTGTGAATACAGGTTCAAACAGATCAATGTTCAGTTGAAACATGTATGTTTCCTCAAAAATAAATCACTTCATTATGCTTCTAAATCCATGTTTGTCAACT